GCGAAATAAGACAGTTTTGCTTTAGGATAAATGGTAATGAAATCGGTCCCGCCGGAATTTTAGAGGACAAATTGGTAGGCTAATGTTATCATCGTTGAGGGAGATTGACGTATTTTTTCGTACCCGGCGGGCGAATTGCATTTACATTTTGTAGATTGGTTGGAAACGGTTTTTAGTCGTTTTGCCAGGTTTCTTGTTCTTTTTAGGATTCATGCTGCATATTTATACATCCTCAATTTATTGATACCGATAAAATCCCACATCAATTTACTTGGAGTTTCACTCTCATACACTTCAAACTTCTTCTACAATAAACCCTGGATATATCCATGAACCCCAACTTTTTAAACAATCGGCTTGAAATTATTCACCTCAGATCCTCTAACTGAAAATTTTCAAAAACCACTTTAATTCGTTTTCAAATAAATCGAGGAAGAGTCACTAGGTATATAGATTTTTTTTTTTTGGTTTGGAATGTAGGTACCTATCAGTTCACATAGTTAGTATGAAAAAAATTATCCCACTTCTGACACCAAATTGTCATGAATTCCAGGTTCACTGAAATTCACTTCACAAACTACAAACAATGACAGCTTTTACTAAACCAGTTGACTTTATGCAAAATTCACTGCGAAACAATAAATTACAAATACAGTAAGTAACTTTATACCGTCAATAAAAAAGTATTTTCTATAATACATAATAAGATCACTCGAAAATCCTGATTTGTACTAAAAATCCCTAGTAACAGCTTCAAAAAGGAAAATTCCTAATCCCCTCTACCTCAAAAATCCTCTATAAATCCGATTGTTTTTCCCATATCAAACACGACATAAATTCAGTTTTATAGCGAAAGAATCTGTGCAAAATCAACCCTCCTTGCCGAAAATCGGATAATAGTGCCCTTTTTTTGTTTCTAAGGTAGAAATCCTTCTTATCGGCAATCTACACGAAAAAGAAACAAAAGAAATAAAAGCTATATATCAATCAGCACCGAGCATGGGGGATTTCGGGGAAGCAGCCTCTAAATTTGAGCTCTTATCATTTGGACGTTGTAAGAGGAATATGACCAAATTGGCTACTTATCTATTGATTCTTTTTTATATCAAAAAAGAAAAAAACCAGTAGCTTTAAAGTCAATTTTTCACTGTGTAAATAAGACGTTTTTTGGTGCAGTTGAGACGAAATTTGTCTTAATTAGGAACGCTTCTGTGGACAGCAAATTTAATTGAGGGACTCGGCAAGAGAAAATTGCGGTAAAATAAATTGAGGATTTTTCAAAAAGATAACTTAACTAACAATAATAATGTGGGGTAACAAAAAATTTACCTGGCTGAATCCATGGAAGAAACTTTTACGACATCGCAAAGAAAAATTTTTCAACCCAAAGAATTCATAAAAGATGGAGGATTACAAAGAGAATAACAATGACCGAATAGAGCATTCCACAGGCGTCAACTTTCGTAATTACGGGAATAAATTACTCTCAAAATTTCTTCGACATAAATCAAATGGTGCGACCCGACTTCGTAAAATTTCGCTGTAACTTTTCAAATTTCTAGTTCTTTTATTAAAAAAAAAAACCTTACACAAAGCTACATGGAACGTGAGAAATATAGAGGTACAAGTCCGCTTTGTCCCTATATTATATAATAGAGGCCCCTCTAGGGATCTACGAGGACGTGCAATACAAGTATCTATGGGAATTATTGGCCAAATTAGGACGCCCTCAGCCTTTGCATAATTATTATTGAGTGTTAGAGCAAATTCAGTTTGAGAAAAATTCCTCTAAAACAACTGTTCTAATTTGCTTAAAAAAATAATCCGAGATTTTCGCTCCACTCTGCTTTGGATGGAAGTTTGTTTTTCGGCTTCACAACAAGCCACGAGCTTAAAAGGCAAAATATTTTGTTAAGCCTCGGAAAAATTTAAAAGGACATCAATGCTGGAAACTGGTTTTCGACGTTTTAATCTGCTAGAAACCGAACTGGGATACATTTGACGCGGAAAAAGGAATTTAATTACAATGAAAGCAAAATTTTTAGTGAGGATTTGTAGTTTTTCATTGTAACTATTTTCTCGGAAAATGGCAAGTGGAAATATTCGACTAAATTTGAAGTTGACAATCTTGGAATTTTGTAGATTTTGATTTAACCACCACGCCTAAGAAGTTTCACTTCAAACATTTGAAATTTTGATTGGATTTTTGAAAAATCATCTTAATTTTGACAATATTGTCGCAAAATTTCCTTTATCCGCATAAAACCATCATCATCATCTTCGGCAAATTTGAAATGTCTCGCTACCGCATCAACCAGTACGCTCTTAATTACGTTATGAGGGTCTTTGGGACGAATTAGTCTCGCGCTAATTAATAAGGCCTCCAGATGATGGCCTTTACAGAGATGATGTTTATATTATACTCCCTGGGATCACGAAATTATAGGTAAAAAAATCACAAAGGTTTATTAAGCTGGGCATTCGTTAGTTTAGGATGTCGGAGAATTAGCTGAGTAAGCCACATGGAAGTATATTGTCACGGCTTTGGATTACCTGACAGAAATCTTGGGTTCGTTTCGTTTATTCCAAAAAATCAAAGTCCAATTAACACAGCAATAATTTATTCCACTTTGACACTAATTACTTTAATAACTTACTCAACAATCAAACTCTTTACAACAATAATCACTATTTAAATCGTATCAGAGTCGAACTAAAACTTGAAAACTACAAAGCAATAGCGGCCTTTATATATCCCTAAATCTATTCTTGTAAAATCTAGAATACACACGATAATCCTATTTTCCCGATTTAAGTAGAATAATTCGCTAGATTCTAGGATATTCGATCCCGAAAGACGAAGATTCTTGACAGTCTGGCGAACGCCACAATATAATAATAATAATAATATCAGTTTATTTCTGAAAAATTACAAAAATTTATATACTATTACTATAGTTACAATTGTTTCGAAATAAACAGTTGAGCATAGAAGCAACTTAGCTGCTTGTTTGGGCTGAGCGTCCAGTTTGAATAAAGAGTCACTAATTGGGTTGAAAGTCACTTTCCGGGTTTGATGTTATTTTTGGAGTTTATTGTCACTTTTGGGTTTACTGTCACAATTTGGAAAGTTCGTCGAATTTTCGTTTAACACTATACTTATAGACTTTGCTTATAGACTAACACTTAACATTTTATATATAACGTGTACCTAATCCTATTCAGTGTATATATTGAGGAAAACCACCTATATAAAATATTATTTCTTCAAATCTTAATTTAAAAAAAAAAAATCGGTTACTGAATAAAAGTAAATGTTGCAACCATATATGCGCCCTCAAGTTTAGGATTGAACGAGCGCACCACAGAAAACGAAGGTACCGAAACCGAAGAGGATACAAGAGAATACGCAACTAGACTACAGAACGAGCTGGACTAGTCCCTTAGAAAACGTGTCGCGTGTCTGTAATTATTCATTATTCAATTTTCATTTTTATTTTACATTAAAATTGATTGTTCAATCCAATTTGTTATTAGTGTGTGTGTAAGAAGCGTTCACAGGTTAGTTGATTAATTGTTATTTTGTTTTTGAGAGTTCAATTATTTATACAAGTATCATTTTTTTTGATTTTTATGTTTAACATGTGCATTGTTTATATATTTAACAAAAATTGTTTCATGCTGTAAACAACACAGATGAAGAGTAAATTAAATCCTTAAAAATTAAGTGCTGTTCTTTTGTGCTAGAATTTTGATTTGTGTATTCCAAGCATGCATTAGAGCCTTGTTGAATTTACTAACATTTTTACTTACATTTTCCTACCCTGACGAGAGAATATCCTAACAAATTGAAATAATCAATCTAGAGATATTGGCTCAAAAAAAACTATAGCTGAGTAGCTTCCCGTATGGGACCTCAGTACCTGCTTGGAAACTGGCTTACTAACCAAAAACTCTTCAGTATTGAATATAGGTAGTGTTGATTGAATGTTGTGTGTGTGTAATTCATTTTTATTCTTTCCTGAGTCTATTTGAAGAGCAATTTTAAAATAAATGTCACTGTTTCTCCTTTACAAGATGTTGCTACCAAATTTTAGATTCGACGTTTCGTCTTTGGACGGCCATCATCAACTTTATTGCATAGTACTATTTATCTTTTGGTTTACCCAATTAAAAAATTAAAGTCCTAATAAAGAAACTTGAATTAAATTAAATTCAATTAAAGACTTGTTCTCATCCAATTCACCACTAGGTACTCTGTTTCATAGCGCGTCGTTGCTTCTAGAATTGTCTAGATAATTCGCTTCCCAAAGATTTTCTCATCTCAATAACTAAAAATTCAAATAACATGATTTGTAAATTACCTATATGTCGAACAAAATTACGTTAACAACATATTAATTTTCAAAGTAATAATTTACTCTACCACTCCACACCCTCTACCAAAAGCCAACATTTTATCGAACAATAAATTCAAGAGCGCTAATAAAGATAGATAGAGCCAAGTGTTAAAACATTTCGCTCGTAATTTCAGCCTCGTAGAGCTTTTATGGGATTGGGGGAGGCTTTAATTATTATTGCAAATTATAGTGCTGCCTTTAAATTCTAAAATAAATTTCGGCGAATAAATGATAATAATTCTTTCCCGGTCCATAAAAAAAAAAAATTGACCGTCTTATATAAATCCCGAGGACAGTTAAGGGGCCATTAAGGAAACCCGAAAATATCGGCTGACCGACAAAATGTGAAGAAACGGTTTAAATTTTCCTTTCTTTCTTGGTCAATAATATATTGAACTTAATGAAATCTTGTGAGTGAGTTATGGAAGGTTTTATCGAAATTAAATTTCTAATGGTGGCTTTTGTTTTAAAATACATAGAAAGAAATCTTCTGTTAACCGCAATTATCTATTGAAACCCGCGGGAAAAACCCATATTTAACATTACTGTACTTTGTGTCTTGAATAAACAATAATTTAAATAACGAAAAACCAGTATTGCTTTTGTCTCGGTTATTATATAATAATGTTTGCAAGTTCTTAGTTCCTCATTGATTCTTTGAACTTAGAGTTAAAAGTGTTGATTGAAAAATGCAGTTTGCTATAAATTTTTACTTGTGTTTATTTTTTGTTATTAATCAATTTAATTGTTTGCCTCTCCAAAACGAATCACAAAATGGTACAACGACAATTCGGCCAATTCCGGCAAAACCGTTTTTATTGGATGTAAAACAGAATAATGGTGAGTGATTTTATTTGTAATTATTATTTTTTTTAAATTTAATTTTGATTGTATATAGGAACTTCTCCTTTTGCTACTTCATCATTGGCCCTGGTGAAAAATAATGGTTGTCCTAATGCAAACCAGATGCGAGATCCCAATGGAAATTGCAGGGAAATTGAATAATAAACTGTTTATTATTATTATTTATTATTGAAAAATAAACATATTTTAATTATATTTACTTTAATGTGAATAAGCGAAAGCTTGCTAAAATGCCCACTTTTAATCAATTTGATTTTTCTTACAATAATTATATTGACGACATACAAATATTATTATAACTACGATTACAATGATTATTATAATAATTACAATTATTGATAAACTTAAACTACCAATATTGAATTCTTTAAGAGGGTGAATAGTTAGTTTTTAGAATTTTCTTAATTTTCTCGGAGAGTTTCTAGATTTATTTCTGTTAACTCTAAGGCCCAGTTGTATAAACACTAAATTAACCAAAGTTAATTAAAACCTTTGTTTAAAAATTAACCTTTGGTTGAAACAATACAGGTTGTATATAGGTACAAAATAGTATGCACTTACCTAAGCGTCTCTTTTTCTATGTAAGGAATTAGTTCTTCGATAGGTAATTAATGATGATGGTGATCAAAATGATATCAAAGATAAAACACCCGGACCCCGGTACATATTGATTAATTCATTAAAATCTTCGTCGGTAAAATCATCAATTCAAATTCATGTCTACTAGGTACTTATTAGCTGGTAATTAAAAAACACAGTTGCGATATTACAAAATTTGCAAGCAAGTCAATTCACATAACCTCAGAAATCAAACCAAAATAATTTTAACCTGAAGTTATAAGATAGCTTCCCAAATTCCTGTGGTTAACTAACCAGAGTATTCAAACTAAAGTTTTGCCTTAACTCGCACTGGTACAACATACACTAACAAATAAACTGAGATTAAGTCCTAACCTGTGTTTATACAACCGGGCCTAAAGGTTCAACATTTTGGATTAACTGTTCGTGAATATTGATTGATGGTAGTTTTAATCTCAAATTAATTATGTCTGATTTTTGGGAATCATAATTATTTCCTTCAATTTTGACTTTACAAATCGAAGCTAAAATCAATGAAATGTTACTTATTACTTCAACATTATGTTGGCTGGGACATTGAAAGTAAATGCTCTCTTTTGATGGGAGTCATTGGGCAATGATTGGTTGAATTCATCGTTTGATAAACGCAGAGCTCATTTTGATCGAGTAATTTGATGTGGCATAATGATATGTCTTCGATTTTAAGACAGTTTTCTTTTATATTGGCTGGGTTCGGCTATTCAGCGCGGAGTTGGAGTGGAGTGAACAGAGCTAATGGAGTCACCCTTAATACGGTAAAAAAGCAATACCCGAACCTTAACCCGAACAGCTGGAGTGCGAATGGAGTCACTCGGAGTGAGCAAGCCGAACCCACCTATTATAAAAGTTTTCATTAGATATCATCAAAAAAGGGTTTCTTAATATCGCTATTCTATATATTCATATTTAAAAGTAGCAAGAGGTAGAGCACAAAATGGCAGCGTTTTCCATATGAATATATAGGACTTTAAAAAAACAATCAAAAATAAGACAGCAATTGTCGCCACTGTGAATGGTATGTAATGAAAGAAAAGGACCGCGCAATCTGACGATAGAAGATTTATATCTATATATAATAATAGCACTTGTCTCAAAATTGCTCCCGATTGATCAAGAAGCGATCCGAAACGGATTCACGTGTTCGATTTGAGCAATAAACGCTCTCAAATCTCGCACGGAGTGCTATTCCTTGTTTCGTCATATTCGATAGATCAATGATTAATCAAAACAAAACAATTAAAGTACGTTCGGCTATTGATTTCAAATAGGGTGCCCTCGCTGGGATCATAATCGCTCTTTGAGCACTTCCGCAAAGATCTGTGACGTCACCGCCCAAATAGAGAGCGTTCTGGGAGCAGTAAAGCCGAAAATGCTATAAGATAATACTGTTACGTCGGTTGAATGCGCAAACAAAAATAAGTTGAGTTATGTAGTGGTGAGAAGCAAAAAAAAATTTTTGGAATGGACCACCCTTATCACTTAGGGGTATCAAAAATAGCTTAAACTAAAAATTCCCATGTTTCGCTTCATTTGTCTAGCAGTTTATATTGATGCAGATACATTGTGAATGTTGGGATATTATTTTTTTGAAGTTTGATGAATCTGATTCAGGTAAAAACTCTATTTATTGATTTTATTTAAAGTGTTTTATCAACAACTGATTTTTTGTTTCTAAATTTTACTGCTTGATTTTTAACCTCACTGGGAATCTGATATCTCCGTGGAAATATACATATATACTATTTTAATTCGAAAATTACTTGAGTGTTTTATTGGTTTTACCTATGTCAAGATTTGGTTGAGTTATATGCCTCATTTATTTCCTTTTCAAACTTATCAATTATTACTTTTTGCTTTTGTTAAATATATCTTTTTAGGTATGTTTCTGAATTTTCCGACTTAAATATTTTACATAATTTAATTATTTATTTTTACAAATTCAATGGCGTCCTTGCCATTCTGTACTTATTTAACTATTGACCCACCCCTAACAAATTATTCGCTGAGCATATTATGGACCTCTTGTGAAATCTTTAACGAAAGGCGTTATACAAGTCAAAATAAAATAAATACAGAGTTTAAAAAACAATAAAATATTAAACTAAATTTTCATTTCAGTCCATTTATGTAACTTCTTTCTAATTTCAAAAAAATCTCAACTTTGCGCTCGTTCTGGTTATTGAGTTAGAAAATTGATCTATTCAATTTTGGAACATAATTGTTTGAATCAAAGTGCTTTTATGCATCTACGTCAGACTTTCTTTTCGATCTTGCGGAAAGGTTGTACCTTCTTCTCGAGAAAAAAATATATTTTTCTATTTTGGTGTCATATCAAAGTCTTTTCGACACTAAAAGTAGTTTCGAAAAGAAGCTCTTTGTGACACTCCTTTTTTACTTATCGGAGGTTGGTAACACTGGCTGACTGATGGCCATCGAACTGTCATTCGCAATAAAAAATAATAGAAGATTTCTATAATTGGCATGTAGTGTTGCCAACCTAAACATATGAAATAAGGAAATTTGAGAATAAAATTTCAAAGAAAAGTGTTTTTTTTTTAATTAAACAATAACAAAATAGAAAAAATAGTATAAAATATTCGTTTCATAAGACATTTTATGAAACTTGTATTTTAATGTACTATTATAACACCATTAGGTTAATTGAAAATAGAGAAAAGTTTCTTTTCAAGGGCTACATGGGATGGTGAAAGGAGTGAAATTACGATATGAAAATTCGAGTGAAAAAACTGCTATTATTTATATTAATTGTCCTTGATTTAATATTTACTATATTTTTTTATCATAGGATCATTGATTTAAGGTGATCTTTCTATCTAAACTGTGGCAGCAGATTTGTTATTTTTAATCGAACATCTAATCTAATATTATGTTACGATAACGCTGCCGCCAGGATGTCAAGAAACCAATTCAGCGGGATTCTTGCGGCGTTTTCGAGAAGGACAGTTATCGCGTATATTCTAGATTATACATGAATAGATTTAGGGATATATAAAGGCCGGCATTGGTTTGTAAGTTAAGTTCAAGTTTGACTGTAATTCGATTTAGTTAATGATTACTGTTGAGAGTTGTAAAGAGTTTAGTTGCTGAGTTAGTTATTAAAGTAATTAGTGTCATAGTGTTTAGTTACGTGGAATAAATTATTGCTGTGTTAATTAAGCACTAGCTGACGTCTATTTAACACCCAGGCACTAGCTTGTCACCAATGACATAACGTGACTTTCGATAGGGGGACAAACATGTCATTGAGGTTATGTGTGTGACGTCAGCTAGCACCTAATTGGACTTTGATTTTGGAATAAACGAACCCAAGATTTCTGTCACGCACACAAAAGCCGTGACATTGGGGTCAGAAGTGAGACACGAAGAACTGCAAAGTAAAATCCAATTTCAAAATAGTGCGGGGACACTAGTATAGTGTGAACACTGAACACTAAGTGAACACTGGGACAGTTAGTCAGTAAAAACAGTGACAATCACAAAAAAAAAATTAACCGAAATTATCCCGGAAGTGGCTGTATACCTACCCGATTTTGACTGTGATAGTGAATTTTCGAGTGAGTTCTAGAAAATTCTATTTGGAAACCAAGGGAGATATCGAATTTCTGACTTCGCCGACGTATTCAGAACTTCAATCGTCATTCAGAAAAAGTTCTTCGACGAGTTTCGAGAAAATTCTAGAACATTATATTCGAGAATCAAGCAACTTATCCAATTTCTGACTCCACCGATTTGTTTGGAACTTCAACAAAAGACCAGAGAAGATATTTGAAGAAAGTTTGAGGAAAATTCCAAAACATTCTGTATATGCCTATCAGAAGACAACAAGCAACCTGGCCACAACCCCAGTGAGGATTCCTTAGAATTAGAAACAAGCCCTGGTTGCTGCGTTAGACTAACACGTTATTTCATTGGAAATAAACCAGAAAGATTTCTTGTTGGACAGACTCTAGTAAGAACAAATGGAAACATTATGATAAGAATTGCCAATGTTTCTTCCAAAACAGTAAGAATAAAAGAAGGAGACACTATTGGAACTCTCGAACCAGTTAAGCAAATATCGAACTGTGACATACCAGATAAGCGACATTTTGTGAAATCGAAATTGGATACGGATATCTTGATGTAGACTTTGGCAATATCATGGAAACATCTCGATCCAGATAGACTTCAAGAAGCCACAGATTTCATCTTAAAAGAAGCAGACATATTTGTGATGAATAATCAAACTGGACGGACCAGTCTAATTTAACACAAAATTGATACTGGATTGGAACAGCCAATTAGACAACTACCTCGACGTATGCCAGTAGCTAAATAACAGAAAGTAGAAAACCAAATTGATAAATGCAAGAGGGAATCATTGAAGAGTCAAATAGTCTATGGTCTGCGCCAGTAGTATTGGTTATCAAGAAGGATGGGAGTCTTAGATTTTGTGTGGACTACCGAAAGCTTAATGACGTCACCAAGAAGGACAGCTTCCCTCTCCCGAGAATAGACGATACATTAACAACTCTATTGGGCTCCAAATGGTTTTCCACCTTGGATCTCAAAAGTGAATATTGACAAGTGGCAATACACGAAGAAGACAAAGAGAAAACTGCCTTCAGTACCGGAAGCGGGCTATACCAGTTTAACGTAATGCCTTTCGGATTGTGTAACGCTCCAGCTACGTTTGAGCGACTGATGCATCTTGTTTTGCGAGGCCTTACATAGAGAACTTGCCTGGTATATTCAGATGATGTCATGATCATGGGAAACTCTTTCCAAGAACATCTCAATAACCTGAGAGATATCTTTGACCACTTCCGGAGTGCCAACTTGAAACTCAACCCAAACAGTGTTTTCTATTTCAAAAGAAAGTGGAATTCTTAGATCACGTGGTATCTGAAGTTATGGAAGGAAAAATAGATCCTGTCAGGAATTGGCCAAAACCACGCGACAAACATGAACTAAGGATCCCTTGGACAAACACAAAATGAAATATGTATAAATGTTGAGCAGAATTATTTGTACAACTACACAAATGTACCACTCCCACATGAAGTGGAAACGACCCTAAGCCTGGGTCCAAAATTTGGCCTTCCCTTAACAAATAAGGAAATTCCCATACCAACCATAATCAAG